TGAGGACACAGTGAAAAGGGAGCCATCTACAAGCCAGGAAGAGGACCATCACCAAGACCTCGACCATGCTAGCACCCTTATCTTGAATTTCCCAGTCTCCAGAACTGTAAGAAATAAATGTGTTGTTTATATCTATGGTATTTTGTTACAGCACTCTGAGCTAAGACAACAAGAATATGGAAAAACCTCATAAATGTAACTTTGAGCAAAATAAGCCAGATGTAAAAGCCAAACATAATAACATCTATAATGTTAGAAATGGTTACCCCCAGCTGTGGTGTAGGGATGGGTGGCCAGTGACTGGAAAAGAGCTTCTAGAGGGCTTTGGGGAGCTAGTAATGTTCTGCTTCTTAATTTGGCTGCTGGTTACATACGTTTGGTTTGCAAAAATTCAAGCTACACATTTATGATAAGTGCTGTTTTCAGAATGTATATATATTAAACTTCAATAAAAACTTAAAAATAGGGGCTGGCCAGTTAAGCCCAGTTGGTTACACCAAAGTCAAGTGTTCTGATCCCCATATTGGCCAGCTGCCAAAAAACCAAAAAAAACCTTAGAAATATGTATTTACTAAAACCGTAATGAAAGAGTAAGACAACAAACATACACAGAAACAGACTTTGAAAATCAAAGTTGATGTTCTAGAAATAAAAACAAAACACAATAGTAATTGAAATATGAAATATGATTGTTAAATAGTAAATAAAAGTAGCAGAAGGAATTTCATTATCTGGGAAAAAAATTCAAGGAAATTCCCCAGGATGTAGCACAATGGGAAAAAGAGATGAAAAAATATGAAAGAGTAATAGATACACAGAATAAAATGAAGAGATAAGACATAAATAGGACTACTAGCTGGAAGAGATGAATGTGAAAAGAAACAAAGGATGGGAATTTTCCAGAATTGATAAACAATATGAAGGATGATTTCCTAAGCAGAATAAATACAAATTACCTACACTCAGAAGCCTAGCATTTTAATGTTGGAAAGATTGTTAGAGATACTAGTCTATCTCCTTTCTTTTATTTTTATTTATTTATTTTTCCTTTTTGTCTTTTTCCGTGTCCGGCAACGGATTGCAACCCTCAGTGTCGCGCCCATACCGGACCGGGACCGGCAACGGGATCGCAACCCTCGGTGTTACTCCCGCACCTCGCTCAGCCTTTTGTCTTTTTTCATGTCCGGCAACAGATCGCAACCCTCAGTGTTGCGCCCGTACCGGACCGGGACCGGCAACGGGATCGCAACCCTCGGTGTTACTCCCGCACCTCGCTCAGCCAGTGAGCGGCAACCGGTCTGTATGTGGGATCCGAACCCTCGGCGGGAGCGCCACCACACTCCCAAGCGGCGCACTGTAGCAGTGCGCCACCGGGCCGGCCCTATCTCCTTTCTTTTAAAGATGAGAAAACTGAGGCCCAAAAAGATTATTTGCCTAAAATCAAAAAGCTGATTACTGGTACAGACAGAAATAATCTAAATATGTTGTATCTTAGGGTTACAGATAAGAAGAGCAAAATAATAATTTCTGACTTCAACTTTCCTGCTGGTTATCACCATTTAAAACAGCAATCTGAAGATATTCCTGTTTCTAAAGAGCATTTAACTCACAAGTTGACAAATAAAGGTTATTACTGATTCAACTGTCATGTAGTAAGTGCTTAACAAATGGTATTTAATAAACTATTAGGGCAAACTAGAGCTGCTCACACATACCTTGAGGAAAGAAATAATTTCAAGGTAATCCCTCTATTTAAATTTAACTACAAAGCCATTATAATAATTTCTTTTTTTTTTTTTTTTTTTTTTTTTTTTTTTTTTTCCGTGTCCGGCAACGGATCGCAACCCTCAGTGTTGCCCCCGTACCGGACCGGGGACCGGCAACGGGATTGCAAACCTCGGCGTTGCTCCCGCGCCTCGCTCAGCCAGTGAGCGGGAGCCGGTCTGTATGTGGGATCCGAACCCTCAGACGGGAGCGCCACGGCGCTTCCCAAGCGGCGCACTATCCAGTGCGCCACCGGGCTGGCCCCATTATAATAATTTCAGTGCATAAACCTCACATCTATTATCGTCCTCTATTTAAGTGTTAACATTTTAGAATGCTTTTGAATCACTTTTTTTTTCTATTATATACATCATGAAATAAAGTAAATTACTTTTTTCCTTTGAAACAGAATAATTCACTGTCTAATTGAACCTCTAAATGTCCATTGTAAGTTTGATACAAATTCCAAACTGGTCAAAGGGGCATAAAATGTACTGAAGACTTGATATAAAGCGCTCTTATATAGTGAATTATTTCTAAAGATAAGTCAGTGGCTTGCATTAACTCAAGCATTTAAAAAGAAAAGATCTAGTATAGGAAAATGTGGGTTTCATCCTTATTCACATTTCACAATTTTGAATTCACACAGTGAATTTCTATTATTTTAATGCTCATTGATTTTAAAACCATAAATGAAATAATTCTATGACCACTTCTGACAACTCATAAGACTATAATATTTTTCAGAAATAGAAAAAACTTTGAAGTGTCAAAATGATTAGGTTTGTTCCAGGTTGAAATATTTTAGGAATTTCTAATTTATTTTTTTCTTATAAGCAAAACACTTTTATTATGCTATGAAGCTTTAGGCCTAGTAATATATAAGACATAGATGTTTCTTTAATATTTTGATTAAGATGGGAAAAAAACAAAACAAAACCAGAAAACCAAAACCAGTTGGCACTTAAATACTAGACTCAGGAGAAAACTAATTTGTTTTGCTGATGAGTCTTGAACTTTTTAGAACTCGATTAGTTCCAGGTTTAAGAGTTAAGACTGTATTTTAAAGTTTTGATAAATTTTAACTATTCATACTTGTAAATTTAACAATGGAAAAATGGGGGAAATTATTAAAATTAGTTAGAAAATGTAATTAGCAAAAATAAAAAATAAAAATAAAGAAAAAAAAAAAGGCCGTGAAAAACATTCCAAGTGTTTACTGCATAAATAACTCATGCAAATGTATGAAGAAATCATTAAGACATTTATTTGTATAAATGAACAAAGTATACAGATAAACGACACAAAGGCAAATTAGAGAAACTTTGAACTCACTCTTATACATAGTAAATCAGCAACAATATATAAAACCCCTACCCAAATGGTGACACCGTAAAATGTTACAACTCTTTGGGAATGCAATAAGGCAAACGTAAACCATAAAACTGTATTACTTCACTTAATAATCCCATTCCCAGGAATTTATCCTAATAAAATTGAAAATGTCTTAAGTATTCAGCAATAGAGAAATAGTTTAAATAAATTATGGGTATAAAGTAATATAATTAAAATAATCATTATCAAAACTAAATACAAATACTGATAGAGAACATCAAATGAAAAATAGTCAATTAAAAAGTATAATATAGTCAAGACCATATTATGTGAACAGAAAAAGGGAAAATAGTAATATAAAAATTAAAATTCTAAAGTTACTGTATCAGGATGGTGGGATTATGGGTGATGATTCCATTTGGCAAAATTTTCTTCAATGTTTTCAATATAAAAGAAAAAGACTGGCTATCATTTTTAAAAGTTACTCGCCTTTTCAAATAATCTCTCCCCAATTGGTAAATTATACATGTCAATTCTTAAGTTGAGAAATAGAACAGAATTACCTCAGCTGTGTTCTGAAGGCTAAATATCCTTCTATTTGGACTTTAACTGGCAATGAATGAAGACATATTGTAACCTGTGCCATCCCAATAGACAGAGGTAGCCACTGCCACCTTGGCTGATACAAACTGCAGGGCACTAGATATGAATAAGTAAAATTGTAAACTTTCAATATATAACTTTGTGTGTTTGGTATTTTATGTTAATGCATCATGGTATCAATACTCTTTCTTTATAATTTTGCCTCATACTAAGAATTAGTTTTAATATTTTCATTAAAAATACGTTGCCAATATGCTGAAAATGCTCTGCTGAGGCATATAATAAGCATTTTTATACTGAGTTTAAATTAAGTGATCCACAAATAAAACCATTTCAGTTTATGTATTTTAAATTTTTGAGTTAGACATTGCAAGCAGGCAACTACCTTTAAAAAGAAAGCCAATCCATTAAAATCTAAAAACTCATATTTTATGAAGTCTTTAATGAGTCTTCTTTTGAAACTGTATTTGAGTAGATGAAGAGATTTGAGTGTTTCTACAGACTGGCTGCATAATATATTGCTTTCCCATAACAAAAATATGAAGCACTCATTACATATGAAATTTACTATTTTGTGATGTGACAACAATTTCAAAATTATGGTAAAAATGAACAGAACACTTTCAGAAAGCTATTGAATGCAAACATTTACAAATAACTGTTTTTAAATATTTAGAGGAGAACAGATTAGCTGGAAATTCAGTGCAGCTACCTCCATGTCTATAAATAACACTTGAGAGAGCAAACAACTAAAGAAATGATGTCATGGGGATTAATGCCCTACAAAGAGACAAAGAGATATAAACAAATGCTGAAAAATGGATAAAAGAAATTTTTAAATGAAGACATCTTTAGTTTAAATTTTAAAAATTATGTTATTGTAACTTGGTACAAAGTGGTTGACTGTGTTGATGAAATTATCGGAAAAATATCTCATAGCTGCCAAAATACAAAGCTATAGGAGCTGTCTTCTGCTCTAATGGTAGAGGTGAATTTAATTAAATATTAGTCTTCTATTTTTTTTTTTTTTTTTTTTTTTCCTTTTTGAGACCGGCTGCACCGCGCTCAGCCAGTGAGCGCTGTGAGCGCACCGATCATCCCTATATAGGATCCGAACCCGCGGCGGGAGCGCAGCGCTCCCAGCGAGCGCCGCACTCTCCTGAGTGCGCCACGGGCTCGGCCCAAATATTAGTCTTCTATTCATCCTGTTAATGGTAGCAGAAATAATTTGGTTGATTTACAAATATTTATTATAAAAGTTTACTCATTTCCAAGATCTAAACAAACACAATCATTACTAGATGAGTGCAGTCTTATCAAATACATGTTTTTAATAATAATAAACTCTCCAAAACACAAGAGCTCAAAAATAGCCATTTCAAACATAGGTAATGAATTTCAATACAATGGAGCCACCAGCAAGCCTAAATAAAGACAAAATAACACTAAATTACATTCACTTTTATGAGACTGAAGACACATGGAGCACATTATTTCTTTCTTCTTTGATTAGAAAATTTGTTCAACTTTTTCACAGGAAAAGACTGAAGAAGATCAAATTCAGAAAGTTAATTTTCCTGAGTCCAATCATATTCATATTTAACAACATAAAAACATCCTAAAGGAACATTTCACAGTACAGCAAAGAACTGAACAATTGCAAGATCATTTATAATGTATAGCAAATAAATTGTATGCTACCGAAACTGTAAATAATAAACATTTTTCATCATGCAAAAAAATAAAAGTTAGGAATAGTTGTCTCTTCCACATAGCTTGTCATTCTGCATCTGCACACAGGATTCAAACATCAACCAGGAACGGTGACACTCCCAGGCCAATCTCAAAATGCCTTAATTACATCATCCTCTCCCTTTGTCTCATTTAGAGTTATATATTCACAGCTCAAAACCTGCTCATTGGACTCCTCAGGTTTTGACTTCTTAAGTGCCATCTCTGCAGGGAGAAGAGATGAGCAATGTTCAAGAGACTGTGCAATGTCATCGATCGTCCATTTGTCTTCAGGGAGGGCATGCTCTTCTAGTGTAAATGGTCCCTGCTTGGTTCGAGTCAGCTCTAGTACATTGGCACAGGAAGAGAGTTCTACAGCAACAAAGGTAAAAAAAAAAAAAAAAAAAAATCCAAAAGATAAATGATTCAGTATTTCACAGACTATAATTTTTCAAATGACAGAACACAACTCAAACCTCTCAAAACCACCCCAGAAGGAAAACTGTAAAAATCCAATATAAGAACCAAGAGCTCTGAAATAAAAAAAATGATTAGGTAGCAAAATAATATTTAATAACTCACCTTACAAACTGCTTTAAAGTCTATGAAGAACTTGCACACATTTCCTGTTTAACTCATGAAGCAAACCCTCACTTTGCAGATGAGATAATATGACCTGTCCAGTGTCACACTGCCAGTAAATGGCAGAGCCAGAACCACAACTTTCTGTCAGTTTGTAAACTGTGGCTTCCAATTTCTAAAAAATTTTATTTCTGTCAATGAAAATAACTTTTAGAAAAATAAATCTTTTTTTCTGATTCCTACTTTTAGTTAAAATGTTTTGTACTTGAAAAAAATGTTGGCCCTTGCATTCATTATTCCTCTCTTCATTTTCTGTTCCTCTTTCTCTTCTTTCCCTTTACAAGCATTTCACTGCAGCTGCTGAGGCTGATAATTACATGCCATAAACCTACAATGCTGAAGGCAGCAAGAGTTCAGTTCTTAAGGCTAGTGCTCAGAAATACAAAAAACAGAAAATTCCCTTTTCTCATAAAAAAAAAATACTCTCTAAATGATAATTCATAATTCATTTTTATGCTTACCTTTGCCAATGTCACTGACCAAGCTTCTGATATAAAAACCTCCTCCACATTCAACATCTGGAATGTTAACAGTGACATGGTAAATTGCTAACCTCCTATGAAATCCACTTTACATAGAAATGATGCCCCTAAACAAATGTAAAAATGCACTATGCAAACAATCGTGTGATAAAATATTTATGTGCTAAAACATAAATTATTCATCCAGTGGCATATGTGTTTGTGAGATTGAAAAGTCAGAGTGTGGAGAAAGCAAACAGCAGAAACTCATAAACACATTTTAAATTAACTAGCAAGTCATACCACTTTAATACTTCAGCCTTGTTCATTCAATGGGTTGTAAGTAGTTAGAAATTTCAGCTTTGGTATCATGAGCTGTAGATTTTTAAAAATATTCTCATATTTGTACACCTTGTTCATTTAATAGGTTTTAAATGAAAAATCTCAGCTTTAAATCTCATGCTTTAAATCTCAGCTTTGCTATCATGAGCTGTAGATTTTAAAATATTTTCAGATTTGTACAGTCAAAAACATACAACCAACCAACAACAAAAAAAATCCCTTCACACAATGACAAGAATTATATCTGTCTGGGGTTAGGGTACTGTACTACACACAGAAAGTCCGGCATATTTAAATGTTCTCTTGGAAATATTCCTGAAGAAATCTTGAAATAACTTAAAATTACACAGTGTCCCAGAACTGAATGTACTTCTAAACATCTTCCTAAAATAGTGTAACACAAGCTGATCAGTTGAGGGCAGGGCTCTGCATTGTTTTTATTCATCAATAAGACGTCCTGAAAAGAGCTGCTGCATTTCCACACAAAAGAACTACATCCTAGCTTTTTCTAGTCTTATCTTGCAAATAAAGCCATTTGGGGAATTAATCAAAACTCACCACCTGGGGATTTTAATTCTTTTGTTTTGTTTTTTCACCCACTCATGGTTGCGGTCCACAGCTGAGATAAAATGAGCACTAGGATCAAATGTAGATGTGCTAACATTCTTGCATTATATTTGACTTTAGTGAAAAGACAACTCTTTTGGACCATCATGCTCTCCAGTCAACAAAATATTTATGACTTAAATGCAATTAGAAAAATTTGAGTTTTTCCTACTGTTGGGAAAGTAGAATAATTTAATCAGGCCTGCTCGCCTTAGGTCTGGTTGGGAGTGGTGAGGCACATTCTTCGTAAATAAGTTGTGTGTGGGTGGAGTTAGTGCACCTGCATTGCACAGCCATGCTCTCCAGCCATGTTCTTGGAAGTCCTATGGCTTCCAAGGACCTGTTTGCCAATTACCTAGCTCACAGACCTGTGTGTGAGGGGTCTGGTGACCCAGCCTGGCATGTGAAGGGTTTGTGACCCAGTCTGGACAATGGGCTTGAGGGGTCTGTGAGCTCTAGACCTGGCCCAAGCTTTACACTTACTTTCATAGATAACATCTACTCTGTCAAACTGGCTGCTACATTTTCATGGAATGGAGCAAAAAACATTTTTAGTGTTTTTTTTTCATTCTTTAAAATCAGGATACAGAAGAAAAGGAGTGACTTCTTTTTCTAATGATACAAAACCATATTCTGCAGGAACATATTACACATTAAATAATGCCAATGGGAAAAAGCAATGAAGTTTAAGAAAAAAGGTTCTTTGGGAAATTATTTCTAAAAGGAATCCTATTCAGTATGCACTATGAAATGAAGTGAAATGAAAGGGTAGGATCAATTTAAGGGAGCCTAAGGATTAAGAACTACAGCTTTTGATTCTTCACAGCTCCTATATGTTCAAGGCTTCAGCTACAACTTTCTGCAGCCAGAAAGAACATAAAATTTATAAACCATAGAAATAAACTTTTTGGTTTTTAAATTTATTTCAAATATGGGTTGTAAATTCCAATTAATAACCTGAATTAAAATGTGATCATGTATCCAAAAATGTATTTCTGCCTCAATCTATTTTTTTTCCATATTTTCAGGATCTTCGGTAGTAATTTGTAGGTGACAAAGAGGGGGGAAAAATCAGTCTATGCTTAAAATATCTTGTCCAAAACCTAAAAATGCTTAGTTTTAAAAGGACAAATTAAGGGCAATTCTAAAACTGAATATAAGGTCAAGGGTTCAGATCCCCTGTACCCAGCACCAAAAACAAACAGAAAACCCCTGTATGTATCAGGTACTAGCTAATTGAGAGCTAAAGCATCCATAAGCTAATAAAATCTAAAATCCAAAATCTTGAAAATATATACTCCTTACCTGTTCTTCTCCATAGAGATCTAAGATATGTTATTTCCAACTTTATAGTAAGATAAAATAATACAATATATAAAAAACTCACTCTAGTTAGAAAAGCACTTCTGAACCTCCATATAGCTATAGGTACCTCATTAAATGTATTACCAAAAAGATATTAAACAAATCCTAACTTTCCTTAAATTCAAATTTTTAAAAAACCTCCGTTATCCTAGAGATCCATTAAAATTACACAAAAGTAGCCAAATACAAAATAAAAGTACATGTAAATACAAATGATTTCAAATTTCTCCATCTTACCTAATGTGAAAAACGGTGGCTGGAATTTTTGAAGGGAGATACTGTATACGGTAACTGGCCTGGCAGGCTTTGCTTCTACCACCTCACCTCTCTTCATCAAAGTTGAAAGTCTCTGTCCATCTTTCTTTAATGCAGAATACCTTGCATGATAAGAGAAGAAGAGAGAGAGGGAGGGAAGGAGGGAAAGGGAGAGGAAGAATTGATAGAGATTGAGAGAGAATAATTCCATATTACTGCAAGGAAAGAAAGCATAACTAGCATCCTTTAAACTGAAAATTCTTCTGAAAAATCAACTAGTTTTTTCTTCCAATCTACTCCACAATGCCGTCAGCGATAAAGTTCCTAAATATCTCTAAGGCTTATACAAGCTCACTCTGACACTCATTGAGCAGTGTTCTCAATTTTTATTCTTTAATCCTCTTCCTGGAGATGGTCTTTTCATGTCTTCTCTTGACTAGTCCCCATTGTGCGTTAAAGGCACAAGGAACTTAGTAGCCTCTGGTCATAGTGATCTCAGCTATATTTTCTTGAAACGATTTCTATTATAATAATATTCATTTTTATATAAAAGTTACCAAAAATGTTTCTGAAAAGCTAATATGAAAATAATCTACTTAACAGATCTTAGCTTTGTGTGATAAAATTTTATTAGACCACAAAATCCTTGGAATAATCACAGAAAAAAAATCTAAAATGATTCTTTAAAATTTATTTTAACTGTGATCCATAATATTGTTTATGCAGATCTTGCCAAAATTTTTAAATCTTTACATGTGAG